TCAGGTAAATCTTCCAATGTCTAGTGAAACAGAATCTCGTTCGGACAACAAAACGGGGAAGAAGAAGGTCATCGGCAACAACAACAACTCGTCGGAAAATGTTTCAATTGCTGAGCACAAGATTTTGAAAGCAAAGTATGAGGCTTTGAATAAAGAGCATGAAACTTTGATTAAAACGCTCGAGCTTTTGGAGATAACGCACGGATTCACCTTAGAGAATCTCGAAAAGAAGCAGACAGAAGCATCGGTAGGGAAGAAAGAGGTTGAAAAGTGGAAAAACAAGTATGTTGAGATTGAGAAGAGGCTTGAGAAGATCGAAAAGGGTATCAAAGACTTGGTGTTGTTCGATTTCGATAAGAACGGTGTGGATTCAGGTACCGCGGAGAATGGTAATGCGAAGAGCAACAATGTATCAGATGAGGGTAATTAAGTGTTTCTTCTTTGATAGAAATTTGTTACTAATTGTGGCTCGAAACTAAGACTAAATCGCTATGCAGGTCCGATATTGATTAGCGATGATGACGAAGAAGAAGGAAACGAAAGAGAAAGCAATGGAGGACACATTAAGTCATCAAAGAAAAAGAAGCCAGAGTTTTCCTTCCTCCTCTATTAAGATCTGATATCTTCCTCCTCTGAAAAGTATTGAATCTTTTAAGTTTAGTAGTAGTGCTTCTTGTTCTCTTTTTTAGGTATGTATTGATTATGAATCTCGGGTACATTGTTCTTGTTTTCGGAGTTAAAGAGACAAGTGGTGAATGAATCCAATCAAAAGATCAATGTCATGCTATTTATTTGAATCTATATTAAGCTCTGTTCTTTATAGACACATCTGAAAACGAGCGAAAAGCGAATCCAATGTATCGGAAAAAACAGAGAATACGAAAAAAGGAGCTCAATGAATGGAATCAATCAGATAAGTTAGCAACAGAGAATCAAAATAGCCATAAGTTATAAGATGGTATGTCTTTCAAATTTATAACGTATTTTCTTATGGAGTGCCGAAACAACAATGGGGAAACTTGGCGTGACCCAAATTCTGAGGCTGAGGCGTTACATTTAATCGATTATGTGATTACAAACTCAAGAGGTACAAAGAATTCAGAACAAAGAATGTTATGAAGCTTTCTTCGTAGTAGCTGAAGCTGCTCCCTCAGAGTCGCGTTCCTGGCTTGGTATCGCAAACTTCTTTACTTTCTGTGACATACATTGGTCAAGATTTCGTTAGTTTGCACTTAAATCAGACATGAAGTTAAAACCCATCAAGATTAAGAATGGAACTAAACTTTAATGGCTAAACACATAAAATCTAACAAACATTGTTAGATAATAATATTCAGCTTCATGATTCTCTAATGGCTTCCTCAAGAAAAACCGGAGAGGAAGCATTATCACATTGTTTCTACTTTCTCAAGTGTAAAGCATCTCAGCTCAAACACAGTTTCTATGGAAAATCACTCAGAAACAGTAACCAAACACTGTATGATTTTACCCCATCAGAATCACAAACCGAGAAACAAACACACATTTTACTAATTTCATGTGAAACATCAACAAAAACATATAAACACAAATGTCTCCAGTAATGCTCCACAAAGAACTTCGAATTTACAAGTTGAGTAGTAGAAAATTGTGCTAATTTCTCAAATTTTCTATGAAAGAGACCAATAATCACCAAGAAAAGCGTCAAAACAACCATAAGGATTCAAAAATACTGATCGATCTACAAAGTATGGTCCATAGCGTTCC